ACTTCTCTAACAACTACCTATCTTCATGTGATGTTGGAAGTATTTTTTGAAGTATTCCTACAGAACAGGAAACAGAATTTTCTTGGATAATCTACAAGACTCTTGCTATGGGCAAAAACAGAGAAGTCTTTTGTTCCTAGAACCTAATTGTTTCTACAGAAAAGAAAGAAAGAAAGAAAGAAAGAAAGAAAGAAAGAAAGAAAGAAAGAAAGAAAGAAAGAAAGAAGAAAGAAAGAAAGAGAGAGAAAGAGAGAAAGAAAGAAAGAAAGAGAAAGAAAACCTACTCTAAACTTACCTGTTGATCTTGGCATCGTATCTTCCATAATGAAAGCTTCGTTGGTTTATCAAACTAAATGAACCGAGTGTTGACAAGGGAGCTGCTCCATGACGCAGCTCTTTAGCCTCTTTGCTTATCACGCACTCACTGGTTTAGCAAGTTAGTACTACCAGGCGTGCCCCCCGCAGTGATCTTCCCTGGGACTTTCAGTCACAAAAAGCATTAGGCTTAGTGGAGTAATTCTTTCTCATATGGCATGTAGAGAATTTGGTCACATTATTCTTGTTCATTCAGGTTCTAAGCATATGCCATGTGTCATGCTTTTTCATATGTGTTACCTAGTTTCATCCTCACATGAACCATGTGAGGATAGCCATTATTATCCCTTATTCACAGAAGAAAAATAAAACAAGAATGAGACATGTTAAGTGATTTGGTTGTCCAAGAACACACAGTAAGTAACAGAATCAGAATTCTTACATAAATTTTCTGACAAGACCAGTGTTCCTCCCACTATACCATATTATTTATTTTAAATTAAGTACTTGTGCCAAAACAGAATGGAAAATGCTACTCCTACATCCCAAATATAATCACTTGCATTGTAAAACAGCAAATTTTTGTCTTATCTTGAATATCAAAACAGAGTTTATGCCTATGTTTTCTCAAAGAAGCCTAGAACAATAAAATGACCCAATGCTTTAACCAAGATTTCAGTCAGCCGAAGTACTTTCTTTTTTTACAGAGAGATTTTTGCGGGACCAGCAGATAGCGTAATGGTTACATTGCTGGACTCCCACATAGTCAGCCACGGTTTGAGCCCAGACCCGGTGGCTTGAAACTTACGCCAGGCACATGTGCGTGCATGTCCAAAATCCCACGAGGAGAATGGAGAAGAAGGGATTGTGTGTGGCCATCCCCCAAGGGAGTATATCTTGCTTTCTGTCTCTCTGTATCTCTCTGTCTCTCTGGCAAGCACACATGCCCTATAAGGTGACATTTTTTGCTATAGGGCATGTGTGCTCACTGGCAAGACAGAGAGAGAGAGAAAGTGAGAAATCACCCCCTGGGGGGATGGACACGCCATAACCCCTTCTCCTCCAGTCTCCTCTTGGGATTTGGGGTATGCATGACCTTGCACCTGGCGCATGAGTTTCAAACCACCAGGTCCAGGACATGAACCACTGTTCGCCATGCAGGAGTCCAGTGCCTTAACCACCATGCGACCTGCTGGCCCCCAAAGTGCTTTCAAGTTCTATTCATCTTAGGTATTCAAGAATTGTATCAGTTAATGAAAATGTGCTATCACTTTCAAACTAGTGGTTGTAGACTTCCCATCCAAACATTTTTGCACACAAACTTCAGTCCTGGCGTATTTGTTCCATAATAGGACACTCAGTGAAAGTCAGAAATGGATAGGACACATCTGAACTCCCGAGGATACACACTGGATAACATACCTGATGATAGCTCTGGCCCTCACTCTGCACCAGGCAATGTTTAAGTGATTTAATACACAGAGATATTGAAAAAGTACAGGGAAAATGCGTATTATGAAAAGACTATGCATGGATTTCAATATTTTTACACCAAAATATACTTGTACTTTAATTTTATTTTCTACAAATTTTTAAAAGAATTATTTTAATTTAATTTATTCATTTATTTATTTTAATTTGACCAGAGAGATGGGGTGGTGGTGGTGGTGGTGGAGTGAGAACGTAAGCCACCAGGTTCAGAACTCAAACTGTGGTCAACCATGTAGGACTGTCCAGCGCTTTAACCACCATGCCACCTGCTGGTCTCTACGAACTTTGTTTTAATTGCCAGAGGGCACATATGCTCACTGGAGACAGAAAGAGAGAGAGAGAGAAAGAGAATCCCCTCCCCCAGGGGGATGGCCACACCACAATCCCTTCTATTCCATTTTCTCCTTGGGATTATGGGCATGCACATGTGCCTGGTATTTTTCAAACTGATGGATCCAGGACTTGAACTGCATAGTCACCATGTGGGATCCAGCTGCCTTAACTACTATGCCACCAGCTGGCCCTCCGTGAACTTTTCAAGGTCTCCTCATATTCCTGAACACTCTGTAAGGTAGGTGTTGTCATTATCCCTACTTTCAAATATCTGAGAAACTGGGCATAGAGAGAATAAATAACTTACCCCCACTTACAGTCAGTGGAGAGCAGAGCCAGGGTTTGTCCCCAAGCAGGCTAGCCATAGAGTCTAAGTTCTTAACCACTGTGCCACACTGCCTCTCCAGAATGAAATGTAAAGTGTGAACTGATTTTATGAAACACACCACAGATGTTTTTGTTGACCTGCATCATACCTTGTTAAATATGGCCACGAATAGAAAATGTGGTTATCATGTTGGATATAGGTGATTACATACCAACTTCAGTCCAGAACAGAAATGGTGCATACGGCCAGCAGATGGTGTGATGGTTAGGGCACTGGATCCCACATGGCTCACAGTATGGTTGGAGTCCTGGACTAGGTAGGTGGCCTAAAAATCACACCGGGCATCCATGCATGTGTGCCAAACTCCTGTGGGGAGAATGGAGAAGAAGGGATTGTGGTGTGGCTATCCCTCCCGAGGGCTGATTTCTCATTCTCCCTCTCCCTCTGTCTCTATAGTGAGTGCAGGTGCCCTATGACAAAAATCTAACCCCCCCCCCCAAAAAAAGCGAGGCATAATCATAATGCTCTCTGCTTCCTTAAAGGTTCACACCAGGAGCCAGCAGATGGCATAGCAGTTACATTGCTGGACTCCCCCATGGCTGACCATGGTTCTAGTCCTGGACCTGGTAGCTTGAAGCTCACACAGAACACATGTGCGTGTGTGCCCAAGATCCCAGGAGGAAAATGAAGGGATGGTGGTGTGGCCATCCCCCCTGGGGGGTGATTTCTCACTTTCCCTCTCACTATCTCTGTCCGTGTATCTCTCTCTTACAAGCACACGTGCCCTTTGAGAAATTGCCCCCCTCCCCCAAAAAAAGGTTGACATCAAACCCGTTGGCTTTCTTCAGCTTGGAGTCAGGTCATGAACACATGTCAGTGTGCTCACTACTTGCTGCGCTTCTCCGCAGCAGTCAGGCAGGGGCAGTACTCGAGAAGACTTCAAACAGTTTGTGGGAAATGGAATTAAAGTTTGAGTCCATTTTGGTGCAGAAATGTTTTGAAATCCACGCATAGCTTTCTCATAATACCTACGTCCTATGAGTTTTTGGAACACTTCTTGTAGTCTGTTGCCCACCACCTTGTACCATGGGATTCTGCCCCTAGGTTGGTTCTGGCTAGTCCTATCCTCTGTCTACACTGACATTCTGCCATCTCCCCACCATCAGAAAAGCTGTGTGTTTCCACATTGTGCCTGATAGCGTGTAGTGAAGGGGGTGAGGGGTGGTTCTACATTCCCAGCTCATCCTAAATTCCTATCTTCTAAAAATGGAGCTGCCTAGTTTAGAACGTGGCTGCTTCACTGAAGAAATTCGTAACAACTGAGTATCTTCTAGGATACACATTCAAACGAGTGGTCGGAATGGGAAGAAGAGCAAACAGGAAGCCGGGAAACAGGCTAGCAGGACCGACCTGAGCACCCATGGCGTGATGAGTGTGGGTAGACTTTCGGAGACCCTCGCTGTGACTCATGGACCCCGTGGCCCCTCATGGTAGGCCAGTGGTACTCACATGTTAGGGTGCAACGGAATTACTTGGGAGGCTTGTCAAAACACACATTTCAGGGGCCCACTGATTCTGATTCTGTAGGTCTGGGTAGTGTCCAAGCATCTGTATTTCTCTCAAGTTTCCAGACCATGCTGCTGTAGCTGCTGCAAGGACGCACTTCGAGAACCACTGGTTGCTGCGTGAGCAGAATCCACAGCGGGCATAAAACAGGTTCTCAGAAGGGGTAGTTCTTAGCGCTGCTCTGCATTTCTTGGTAACCCCAACATTGGCTCTCTTCTGCTCCGGATTACACACCGCGGTTTGGCCGAGATTTATGGGGAAAGAGACATTTCTTCTCTACTCTCCTTACATGTGTACACCACCTGCTATTAATGTCTCTTCTCATTTAAAAGCTCCTTTAGTTCGCAAAGAAAGCTCCCGTTACTGTGTGTTAAAATGTAATACTTTGCCATTTCTGAGCATGAAGCTAAGTAAACTCACAGGAGAAACATACGTGAAGGGGCGATGGGGCAGGAAGGCACCCATTCCCCCTAGCATCTGGGGCTCCGAATGCAGGCATACGTTTGTGACTCAGACCAAGTGTCGTTAAGACGACCAGTATCTCTTTCATGTACATCGTATCACGTGCAAAGTTAGAGATAAAAAATAATGATAAAAGCCAATAAATATCCCTATTGTGCAACCTCCCCCCAAATAAAGTGAGCGTGCGGGGCCCATCCCGGGAAGCCTCCGCTGGGAGGGTCCCTCACGTTGCCACTGAAACCGCGCCTCTCCCGCCCGCCGCCCCCGCCCCTGCTCCGCAGCCGGCTCTCCGCAATGCTAAAAACGCAGCAGCATCGCCCTCCAGACCGCTCCTGGGGGATCGCACCGTGCAACCAACCCGAGAAACGTGGCCGCGCGACGCCCCCTCAGCCCTCCGGGTTTCCCATTGGCCGGTCGCCGCTGTCACTCCCTCCTTGCCTAGCCTTCGCCTCCCGGGCGGAGGCAGCGGGCGGGGGAGGTTGCGCGC